CAAAGTAGGTTTAGATTAGCTATCTATTGGACACACGAAATTCATCCACACTTGAGCATATAGTTGCAGAGAGACAACATTGTGCAATTCTCTATGTTACACGAAAATGGATAAGCTGCAAGTACAACTCATATGAAAATGACCATGTCATCTCGAAAACTAAAGGTCATACCAATGACTAAATGTAAGTTAAATAATACTTCCCAAGTTTTGATTGCCTCCCTTTTTTAAAATCCAACTGAAACTGTCCAACATAAATTGCTCACATTGAGTCTAATGTACAACCTTATTGATCCACTTTTTCAAACAAATGATCAAAAGTTCATCCAAATTCAATATCTTATACATCAAATAATTCAAAACAAATCTTCTAAATAGCAAAAAATAAGGCCTCGGATATTAGATTACCTGCAACTATTGGGAAAAGAGCAAATAAGACCGTCATCTCGAGGATGAACAGCCATTCTGTAAGGCAATTCATTAGCAGTTCCAACTCTGAAAACCTAAATCACACACAAAAAAATACCAAAATCAATCACTTTCCACATCACACTATAACCTCTAAACCATAAAATCATTCAATTAATCATCTAATAACCAAAATTCACAATTCAATCACACAAATTCACAATTTCCAGATGAAAACACGATCAATTCCAATCTTTAACAAACAAAATTCCAAAATCGTGATTCAGAAATTAGCGATAATCTTACAGGTTCAGGAGAGAGAGAATCAGCAGCGAAGTCGAATTCGGAGAGGAGAACAGCATTGGGGATTCCGCTACGGCCTTCACCGCCACCGCCAGCGAGGACTAGAAATTCCGACGGATAGTCGGCGTCGTCGGATTTAGGATCGGCGGAATCGGTGGATCTGATGGCGTGGGAAGGGACCCAGGAAGCTCCGTAGAGAGGAACACCGTATCTTTGGGTGTTGGGAAGCTCCATTCTTTTCTCTCTCTTCACTTTCTCGCTTCTCTTGCTCCGGTTTGTGTAGTCGAAGTTTAGCTTTCAGCTTTCAAGTTTCAACGCAATTCAAGGCAAAGGTGTCAATTTGGGTCGGGACTGTCTTCATACAAATTGAAATCTGAATTGGATTTGTATTTAAAAAAAAAAAAAAAAAAAAAAAAAAAAAAAAAAAAAAAAAAACTTATGAAGTAATTCTTTTTTATTTTAAAAAAAATACCTTTTTTTTTTCTTTTTTTTTTAAAAAATAAAAATAAATTTTAAGTTATGGAAGGTCTAATAGAGAGGTTCAATTTTTCAAAAAAAAAAAAAGGGTTCAATTGCATCAACTACATGAATTTACATGTTTTTGACTTTATCCTTCTAGGTTTATTGCAAAAAAAAATAAGCTCAACTAAGTTGGTTTGAACTTTAAAGATAGGTTCATATAGGTCACTGGTGTAAGATGTAGTGATTTACAAATCAATTACGAAGTATAATTTATCTTAGGTTGTACGATCATAAAGTTAGTTTTGCGTTTTTTTTTTTTTCACGAGACTAACCTCAAGAGCAATGATGTAGGTATGATTCAATTTCATCTCCAAAACTTTAACCAAATAAACTAGTTGACTTCTACAAAATAATGCATAAGACAACCATTCAACTATTCAAAATGTTGTAATTATAAAATTATGAGTAAGGCCCTATTCACTTCACCTTGAAAAAAAATATTATGTAAAAATAATTTCAAATCGGCAAAAATAATTTCAGTTCAGTAAAAATAATTTCAGTTTAATAAAAATAATTTCAGTTCAGCAAAAATAAGGTGAAAGGAACGAGACCTAATAAATAAGCTCTATAACTATTAACAATTTAATTATACTACCATCTCATTCTCAAGTTAATTTTGCCAAAACTTTTCAAAATGACAAAATCAAATTTCAACCATTAATATTAATATCACTTCAAATAATTTTTCCAAATCACAAAAAGTATTAAAAAGCCCAACACAAATAACCAAAAGTCCAAAACACAAAGTAAAATAAATGTGCTAGACCAAAACAAAACCACGTGCAAACCACGAGACATATACTTTCTTAGTTCCTTATCTATCTTCATTATCCTCTTCCTTCCTTCTCTCATTTCTTTTCACTTCCAAAGTTGCTCACTGGAGAAAGGTATGCCTCCTTAATTTCCCTCCTGCTTTCTGCATTTTCTTCTTGCTATGTTCTCTCTTCTTCTTCCAATTTTTGAGTTATTACTTCTAGAATCACAATTTGTAAGCTCTAAATTTTCAATTTCTCGTTAATGTAATTCTCTATTGGGTCATTATAATGTATAGTTACTGGCAAAATTTCTTGAATTTGGCCTCTTCTTAATTGATTTTATGCTTTTTATTTAGGTAAGAATGTTGAATTTTTATCTGGATGTTACGAATATTTCTTTTATCTTTTTTAGAACATGGGTAATTCTATATTTTATTAGTGGGAATTGTTGAAATTGCGCATATTTTCACCTAATTGATGGGGTAATTTTTATTTAATTTCCTGAAAGTTTTGATATTTCTCTCTGCTCAGATCATTATTAAGGTTCATTCTACTTTGAAATGTGGGATAATTATTGATTTGTTTGAATAATTTTGTTAAGTAGCTTGGCTTTTCTAATTATAATTTACCCATTTTGTTGTTCTATACATACAATTTGATGATATTATCTGCTTTAAGACTTAGATTTTGGTGTCTGAAATCCAATTTAACATCTTGCTGCATTTTCCTTGGAACATTCATTAATTTGGGTTCAACTTCTGTGGATTTTTCTGTGCTTACAGTGCCATCATGGCAACAATTTCACCCACATTGTCTGTAAAAAGTAGTAGCTGCACTTTTTCGAGCAGTAAACGGAGCTTGAACTATTCGAAAACTGTATCTTCATCATGTTCAGTCATGGGTACTCCTAAGTTTCAGTCCTTGAGTCTGTCTTCGTCGTTTCTTTGCTCCCCGAATCAGATTATCAAACTAAAATCTGTCAGCCCTAGGTCTACACCACTAAGAAGAGCAATTGGGGGTTTGGAGATTAAGATGAGTGTGGAGGCTGGGGTTGGTGTCATGGGTACTAAGCTAGGAATGATGAGTTTTTTTCGAGGAGGATGGTACTGTAGTTCCTGTCACTGTGGTAGGGTTCAAGGAGGGAAACATAGTAACTCAGGTGAAGACGGAGTCAACAGATGGGTACAATGCAGTGCAAGTGGGTTACGAGAGGGTTAGGGATCGTAAGCTCACCATGCCCGAGCTTGGGCACCTGAACAAGTCAGGTGTTATTCCCATGCGTCATCTTCAGGAGTTTCGACTTGTATCTGTGGATGACTTCACCCCCAGCCAGAAGATTTTGTTTGAGGATCTCTTCAAGGAAGGAGATTTGGTGGATGTCTCTGGTACAACCATTGGAAAAGGGTTCCAAGGTTCTCTCTCTCACTCATGATCTCTCCATTATATTTATATGTTGCTAATTGTCTTTAGTATGTTTTACAATGCTGAGATAAGCTAATTGATGTAGAGTGTTAGAGTAATTATCTGGTCCACCTTTTAAGACTTGTTGAACATTTTGACATTTGTCTGAAATTTACCTTTAATAAGGAAGTCTGTTTTCTAGTTTTTCAGTCCAAAGATGGGCTTCTGAACATAACAACATAGCCTATACATTTCTATGTCTTTGGCTGTGATTCTTAGGGCTTTTATGCGATTAGGAAGCATCTAGGACCAATCGATAGTTCTTTTCTGATACAAAAAAGAGCTAGGTACCCACAAAGGGCTAGTATACCAGCTACTGAAACACCATTCCCAAACACTAGTACAAGGAAGGCTTTATATTCTCACCTGATGAACTTTCTAGGAAGGACACCAATCACCAATAACTCACCTGAGATACTGATGCCACTTATATTTCACAAAATATAGCAATAGGATACCAGCTTATCAGCATGTACAGACATTACAGAAGTTCGTTTTTTTTTTTTTTTTTTTTTTTTTTTTTTTTTTTAGGCAACCGGTGAAAATTCATATATACACCCGGGAATAATCATCCAAATGAACCAAAAAAATACATTTAGCTGCACCTTGCACCCAGGTGTATATAAGAATCTCTTGGCAAACTGAAACCAAAAGGTGCTGCCACTAAATTTTAGAGGCACAACAATATAACTATATAAGACGCTGTCAACACTCCATAAACCATAAAACAACTTGCTGCGTATGAAGCAGGTTGTCAAAGTTGTGTAAACCAGTGTGTTCTAAAGTAACAGCATTAGCAGCTTAAACACAACCAAACCTTTTAGTATACCTATATGTAGCAGTCGGAACAGAACCTCCTAGATCTGCATACAATGTAGCTGCCTGCTTTGTTCCCAGAGCCAAGTATGCCAGTGTACACAAAATCGTCAGATACCTGCAACCAGAAACCAAAAGACTCTGTAGATGTGGTAATAAAATTTTTGTACAGAGTACTTGGTTTGGCGTTGTGGGTGATTGACTTGATTTCTCATGTATCTCTTACTTCTGTGCTTATCAGTTATCACATTGTCCTTCTTTACCTGTGTTTTACCTGTCGATTATTGATATGAGTCTCCCTGATCACAAGGATACAGAGTAAGTTTTTGCATTGCTCTGAATTTGTTATGTAATACCCAGGTGGAATTAAAAGGCACAACTTCAAGAGAGGTCTTATGACTCACGGATCAAAAAGTCATAGAGCCTTGGGATCCATTGGAGCTGGAACAACTCCAGGTCATGTTTACAAAGGCAAGAAAATGCCTGGAAGGATGGGAGGAACAAAAACAAAGATCCGTAAGCTGAAGATCATGAAGGTTGACACTGATCTTCGTGTTGTCATGATCAAAGGGGCTTTACCCGGTAAACCAGGAAACCTCTTGCGGCTAGCACCAGCAAAAATTGTCGGCAAAAACATTCCTAAGAATTAGATTATGTGGAACAAAGAGCATGCTGTAATTTTCACTGTATATCTCATGAGTCTTGTCTGTTAACATTGGTTTATTGCCATTACCGTTTTCTGTATTTTGTATTGATCTTCTTCATTTAGCAATATCAGTTAAACACATGAAATTCGGGGATTCAAACAATTTCAATGACATTATTTCTCCGACAGTAGGTACTTCTCTGACATTACTTTTCTGATTTCATATGCCATTAGCTTGAAAATTTAAGTGTCAATACTTTATGGCCTTAATATAAATCGTGTACAAGTGCAATAATAATCATAGCAAAATATGGTAACCGAAAAATGGTAATTAATATGAGTAGCTGTCAGTAAATGATAGATTTAGGCAACATGTAACAGTAGGAGTGATATATAGACAGCTAAAACCAAATAGAAGAATCTCTGCTACTTTTATTGCATGAAGAAATTATTACATACTGAACTTGTAGATATTTTTCCAAAATTGAAATTATTTCAACAGAGGAAGAACAAAAAAACCAACCATAGCCTAAGCGAGGAGAAAACAACCGTAGCGAAAACGAGGAAAAAAAACCTGTAGGTAGGACTAGTGAGATGCTAGTCAAAAAACAGAAAAACAGAGGCAATATTAGAAGAATTTTGGTGCATGAAAGTTGGCAATTAGATGATCAGGAAGAGCAAACCCTTCAATTTTGGCCTCAATAGATTTAAGGTCAAAATGTTGTTGATCAGAAACTCCGGCGCCATTACCTTTGTTCATGCCTAAAGCTGATGAAGAAGAGATTGTTTTCTCTAGAAACATGGATTGATTAGCTATATTTTTCTTAAGATCTTCCATTGAAGCACTCAAAATTTCGAGTTCATGCAAGCCAAGTTTATCGATAGGCGCCTCCCACCAACATTGGTTAGGCTTCCTCTTTAAGGTGTTAAACACATCTCCCCTACTCTTTTCAGCCTCTAGGAGATCAAGAATTTTGGTTAACTGCGAGTTGAGTTCGCGCATAGTAGAGCTTTGTTGACCACCAACGCCTTCAGATTTGGTACCATTGCTCGATGTTTGCCGACTTGTAGGGTTACGACTAAGGTAACGAACGACTATAGAATCAACATTTGGGTATCCAAAAGAGAAAATTTTTTGGCCAGGGGAAAAAACAATTATAACGGCTTCTACACCACAAAGAGTGCATATTTCACTAGCCTTCTTAAACAACCCTAGACGGCGTTTTGAGAAGGTTACTTGTCTATGACTTGGGTTTTTAATCCTAGCCATTTTTATCTTTTGACGACCTCTCGATTCCTTCTTTGCCATGTTAGAAGAATTGGAAAGAATAGACATGACAAAGCTAATTTGTGTAGTTGTAAGAAATGAGGTTAACTTGAGGGGGTATTTAAAGGGTGATGTGTGGTTCTTAAGGAGGCTTTAAAAACTTAATTTCATTACTTCTTTACCAATTATTGCAGATTTAGGAGTTTAAAATATCTTATCTAATTTAATATTTTTCTCATTATGGAGATTTATTATCATTTAGTTTGTAAGCATTGTGCATCAAATGTTCACTGTGTATTAAACCAGATAGATTTAATCATAAAACAACCAAAACACATAGAGAAGCATTTGACCTTTAAAAGTCAATTATGTGTGTATTTATTTCAGTTATTAGAAATAACATATTACTACATTTGTACTTGGGATTCCCCTGAATTTTAGTTTTTTTTTTTTTTTTCCTTCGTTATTACTTCGTACCTTGTAATATTTGTAAATACTTTATTGCTTTTATTGAATGTAGGTCCAACTACATGAGACATATTTAACTTTTGATTTATATAATTATATTTTTGTGTAAAAACAACATAGTTAATTTTGTACAACTAAGCCATGAAAGTTTCAAATTTAGACAATGACATTGAATATGAAGTTAGAATCCTAGGGTCTTGTATGGGCTAAACTATGCTTTGTATATACTTCGTATATATTTAAGTAATTCATTTTGGGTAATGATATATGTAGCGTTAAGGGCGAATATACATTATATATTGATTGATTATTCAAATAATTTCTAAGGTTTTTTTTTAGGTGTGTGTTTTATAGCCATTATTAAAAGTGGTTCAAATATTTTTTACTATAAATTTCGTATCTTGCTAATATGTTTCTTATTGTGTTGAGATAACAAATATTCGCTAGCTTAGATGTTACTCCGCACCTATCCTTTACAACTCTCTAAACAACTCCCGTCGTTGGATTGTGGTCTATACTCTATACCATTGCCGGTTGACTTCAATAGAAACATTTTTCCAATTGATTTAAATGTCTTCCGATCCTTATTTTAGAGATCACACCTTCTTAATACAGTGATACGATAAATAAAATATTACTCCGTACTACATATGTGAGCAAATAATATTTATAGGAATTATATGAGATAATGTACTGTTTCCAAAAAATAGCATGTCAAATTAATACATCATAGGAATCAATGTGAAAACATACATTGTCAAAAAAAAAAAAAAAAAAAAAAAACATACATTAACCGCGGTCCACATTGAACCGTAAAAGAGAAAGATGATTAAAAATATCAAACGAGTAAAATTTGTTTTTTTTTTTTTTTTTTTTTGAACATTGAACTTGAATAATATAGTGTCAAAATTAAAATTTTCTTTTTCGTGTAATTATTGGTCTGGCTAATATTAACCTGCTCCAACCCACCCAATAGTCAGACTATGCATTATTGCAATGCTAAGGCCCAATTCACTATATTATTTCAGGAAAAAAATAATTTCATGCTACACAAGTTTAGAAAAAATAAATTCTAATAAGGGTTGATAACAAGAGATACACATGTTCAACTTACAACCTAAATAAGTTCTAATAAGGTCAAATTGGTTTTAATACAAGTTAAGGAAAGTTCATATAAAATAAGTTCTAATAAATTCAATTAAATGAAAATTAGGTGAATAAAATATATCTTTAAGTGTAAGATTTCCTTCAAAAGTTTATAAAAAAATTGAGAAAAAAGAGATATCTTGGAAAAAAAAAATGCTTTTTAGAAACCAAGTCTTCACATATATAGGTGAAAGCTAAGCATAGAACATGGCAGCATATCACACTTTGATGTAACATCTAAAGCATAGAACAAGCCCACAAATAAAAAAAATTATATTCTAGATACCTTTAATAAACTTGCCTATATATGATGATGATGTACACTAATCCTAAGACAATGAAGCCTTAATTAAGTCAAACAATAAGTTGATAGATAATCAGATTAATGGAGGAAGTGTCAAAAGAAATGGAGAAAGTAGGATTAGTGATTGATAATCGTGATTATGGTCAGATTATAAGGGAAGATAATGAAGCAGAAGGAGATAATCAAGGGAAGATAAATGGTGGAAAGAAGAATGATCAACAGAAAACAACATTGAGAACACCAGCTGATATTTATGAGCACCCTTCTTTTTACTCCTTTATTCTTGATATGCCTGGTCTTGATGCTCATAACATTAAGGTAACCACTCTTGTTACAATCAAATTATTATGTACTGTTTCGATCTTTTTTTTTTTCTCTTTAAATTGGTAAATTGTTCTATGTTAGAGATGGAGTTGCTCATATATATATGTGTGTTCATCATGTAGTAGGAAGTTCCTTGATCTCTTAAATAGCATGTATCATACTAATCATACAGACTCATAGTATATAAACATATGCATAACAATCTATGCTTGTCTATTTAGATACATCTGATACGGAGTAGATAAAATTGGAACGATACAAAGAGGATTGATACAACGAACCTTTGTTTAAAGTCACAATGGTCATACATAAATAAGGTCCACTTCAATAGTTCAATAGAATTGTGTAAGATTTGATATATTTGATAGAAAATTTGCATAAAGTTGAATAATAAACTATGTCAATAGATCACCCCGTCAAAATAATCTATCAATATATAGAAGTTTCTCAAATTATTGAGCCAAAAATTACTTGAACACATATTTGACAAACATCAACAAATATATATCCCCTTAATCCTGAATCGGACATGTTCTAGTTGTCTTTGTAAACTTTGTTCAAATTAATGTAAGTCCAACCCCAACTCTCTTACAAATATTACCATTACTTAATAAATATTATCATACTATAATTTCTTTCTTTATGTACACAACATTCTTGAAATTGATTTGGTAATAAGTTTAGAGTGGTTTTATAATTAATTTGTTTGTTTTGTATTCTTTACGTGTTTAATGTATGTATTTTTTTTAATTATTGATGTAACATAGTGTGGCTTAATTACATTACGTGTTTTGTGAACATTTTATTACGGAGTACTACCTAATGTTCAATAACCGAAAATAAAAAAATAAAAAATAAAAAAATCTTGTGTATAAAAGGAAATTAAATCTGGTTTTAAGGAAATTATTTATATTTCCTCTTTAATTATATTTCCTTCTTTAGGTCAAGGGTTTAGGGTAAGAATTCTTATATATAACACGAGTAGTTTATAAAGCGATACGTTATACATAACATATAAACCCCAACAATCATTTATGTGAAGTACGTGTACCTCTTAAAAATCTCACGACCAAAAAAAAAAAAAAAACCAATATTTTTAGCTTGTAATCGTGAAAAATGTCTGTATATATACTTTTGCTAGCCGTAGTGCTCGCATGTCTAGTGTTTGTGCCAGTGATCTTGACAAAACTGCTGTCGTCGCCGGTGATGTTCCTCTTATTGTCTATGTGCTGGTATTATATGCGGCTTACATGTAGCCTAAGATGTACTCAAACTATTTTATTTTATTTTTTGTAGTAACTAGTCGCGTATTGAATAAACCATAATTAATCTATCAAAATCTATGTACTTTGCATTGGTGCCTAAAGTTTATGAATGACACTCCTGAATTTAATTAATACTTTTCTTCTACTCAAATATGTTATGTATAAGGCAAAAAAAACTCCCAAACCTACAGTCCTACAGAGTAATACGAAAGCATATGCAAAAATTTCGTATAAAAGTCCAAGAAACAATTTATTATTTAATATTTTTATGGATTCTAACTAATATACTTCGTATTACTCTATACTATTAATCGACATGAAAATCTTAAACCAGAAAATATCCCCTAGCTATTCAATTACATAAATTGATATAAGATCAATAAATATTCCGTCAAAAAAAAAAGAAAAGATCATTAAATATTATAGAATATGTTTAAATAAGGGCACTTGTCAAATTTAGTACTCTGTATTAAGGTAAAAATTTAAATCAAGTTATTTAAGTTTTACAATTTTCCTAATTTATGTTTTTATTTGGCACCAAGTCACGAAAGTTGCCAAAACTTCGGTAAATAATATGGCAATTAAAAAAATGGCATCACAAAAGTTGCAAATAAATATTGCAATAATGATCATGATTTCATTATAAATTTTTATACTATAACAGGCTTATTAATCTTAGAAATACCAGAATATTATGAAGATCATTAAGAAAACCACGCCATAAAAATTATTTATATGGAGTATATACATTTTGAATGAAGCGACTGAAAATATAGAGAATTTTGGAGGGAAAGAAAAAAAGAAAGAGCAGATTCATCAATACAGTTAAAAAAAATGAGGCTTTACATTTCAATACCTAAAACTGAAGCACTAGAACTTTGAAAGTTGCCAACGGCCAACACGAATTTTAAGTAGGAGCTAAATGAAGCAATAACCTGGTTGTCAAGCTAAGTACAAACGAGTGTATGAGACTGATTTAGAGTCATTCCTTGAGTTCGACCCCTTGGGCAGCAAATTATCATCCGAAGGGATTTGTGGGGATGCCATTCTGGACCTATTATTTACCAAACATTGTCCTTGACATAGAAGGCTCGATTCTGACCTTAGACAAAACCAGAAAGAAACAGAAGACAAAGGCCAAAAGAAGTGCTTCATAAATTGTAATGACAGACATGAGGAGACAGTTGCAGAAGATGTCGGCATCTTAAGCATAAAGAATGGATGCTCTAGTTACCATGTTATAACATAGCTGAGCAGTTTAAAGTGCTTCATAATTACCTTATTCTTGAGAATTGTGGCTGTTTTCTTGAGGTACTAAATCCTCTGAAAAGATGAAACTGCTTCTGGCATCAAATACATTTGCAATTTGCAGAATTGTTGATTGAATTGCAGGTGATGAGGGATGAACATATTCAGGGAGAGAAGGCAGGCACTGGGGAATGAATTCAGCCTTCTCGTGTGCAGGAGCATAAAGGGCAAGCACGGCACGGCAAAATATGAATCTGCAACGTGACAAAGAAACACTTCGGTCAGCTGAATTGAACATCATCAATTATTACGATTGTCATCAGAGACCTGAAAGGCTGAATTGAATCCTGTTCTATCATCTCCTCCACACCCCCCCCCCCCCCCCCCGCAGGAGCTTTCTTGGATCTTATACAAATTCCTTTAGGATAAGTCTCACAACTCTAAGCTGCAGGGTGAATGAGTTTCTTGTGCAGCAGAGTAGGGAAACAATAGATAATAAAAGTTCTAACAA